AGAGGCAGTGAACAGACTTCCGCCATGTTGGGCTGGGTGGGCCAAGCAGACAGGGCCATTATTTCCTCTAGCAATACCACTGTTTGGGATTTTAAGAAGCGCTTAGCAGTTTAAGAAGTAATCCTGGTCAGAAAAGGATTACAGATACACAATAAACACAAATTCAGATGAAAAAGACCTCTAAATGAGTCACAATGTTGGATAAATGTCCACAGGCTTGGGAGAGAAAGAAGAAAAAGAGTATAGAGAGTTATAAAAAAGGCAAGTTATTTTAAAAATAATAAAACAAAGTCTTTAAAGAGACAGTAAGACAGTCATAGATTAAAAGGAGTAAAAAAAACAAGCCACGTAAAGATGGAAAATACACAAAGAGTTTTGTGTTTTCTTTGAATTTTTTGACTGAAGAAGCTAGGTACAAAGAGACATTTCATTGCATGGGCTGATAATGCTAAGCTAAATCAACCTATTCTATTTAAAAATATCTTGATTGCAAAATTTTGTCTAAGGATTTGTTGCTTTGGAAAAGAGATTCTACTTTTGTATCCACAGAAGATGAGAACCTGTGGATTAATTCCACACTAATGTGATTTGATGGCCCAAGAGCCCCTGAAAGGTTGCCATTAACACATCCAAGAATACTTTGCTTAACAAAAAGCAGGAAGCAGTTTGGAAAGAACTATGCCCAAATTCCCCAAATGATTGTTTGTAAATGTTTGTTTACATTTAAAGGGGAATATGATATAGAGATGAATACTTTGTATTAGTATGGATCTTGGTCTATTGATACAAATTTAAGGTCAATTTTGTTATTTGTATATTTCTGCTCTTGATTAAGGTATTGTGTTTGTGAAGCTCATTTAAAAATGTAATGTATAATTAAGAAATATAGGTTAATAGATAATCATCCATAATAGCCAAGCTTGTACTCGTGTTAGCTAGGTTTCATATATATATTTATATGTGTTTGTGTTTCAGGTAGGGATTCTTCAAATATTTCAGAGACTTTCAGAATATGGCATTTAAAATGTTTTAAGAAGTTAGGACTTTTCATGACATGAGATACACCTGCTCCTGGCATCACCAATTACTTCAAGGAGAAGATGGGCACCAAAAAATCTCCTTATGGAGTTTGTTAGCTATTTGGGCAAGGAACTGCTCTTTCCTGGACTGCTTGATGAACTGAATATGCAGGATTCACAGAGAAATGCCTGCTGACATTGCTTAAAGAAGATGAGATAGTCCTTTGGGCTTTCTGCTTCATGAAAGAGTCTGCCAGACATTCTGCAGAACACAGAAGAAAGTGACTGACAAACTGTCAATTTAGGTGAAACTGTCATTGAAATTTCCTGTTTCATGGAAATGTCTGCTGGATACTATAGGCCTGTAGGCTGAAGATGGGTGCTCCAACATTACAGAAGAACTTTAGGTAACTGTCCAGGCAGCAAGATGTCTCTGTCAATTCTAAAATTTTGAAAGTTGATTACAATGCACTTCTTGTTTACTTAGGCAATATTATATCCTTCTGGAGTCTTTGATGGAGTTGAAAAATACATAGTTATAATTATAGTTTTCTTGAGTTATGATAAAAAATAAAGTAGATATAAATATTGTAACTGTAATTTTTGCTTGATACCTGTTTTGTTATATGTTATTTTGCTATATTAACGTTAAAACCTTCCTTTTTTATTTAAACAGAAAACTGGAAATGGTGTGGGAGGTCCTTCTGTCTATGTGTTGCTTTTATTGGTTAATGAATAAAGAAACTGGTTTGACCTGATAGGGTAGAGTAGAGCTAGGTGAGGAAAACTAAACTGAATTCTGGGAGAAAGAAGGAAGAGTCAAAGAGAAGCCATGGAGTCACCAGGCAAGAAAGACATGAGCTGCCATATAGAACCTTACCTCTAGGTCATGAGCCTTGTGGTAAAATATAAAATAATAAAAATATGAAATTAATTCTAGATGTAAGACCTTGAAGGAATGGTGCAGGAGAATTGTCTGTATTCTGTCAATCATGTTTTAAATAAACGCTGATTGGCCAGGCAGGAAGTATAGGTGGGTCAACCAGACAGAAAGTAGAGGTGGGGCCATGAGAACAGGAGTATTCTGGGAAGCAGGAAGCTCCGTTCGCACTCCTGCCCAGACTTTGAAGAAGCAACATGTGATCTGCCCAGCTGTGAAAGGTACTGAGCCACATGGCTAACATAACCCCATTAACATAATGGGGTTAATATAAGTGATAAGAGCTAATAAGAAGCCTGAGCTAATGGGCCAATCAGTTTATAACCTATGTAGACCTCTGTGTGATTTTCTCTGGAACTTGCTGTCTGTGGGGTACCTGGTGGGACAGAAACCCCAAGAATCAGGCCCCTTCGTGTTACACTTAAGTGACTGGCCAAGCAGTGATTTTATTAATACAGTTTCTATGTGGTTATTTCAGGAGTCTCGATGGCTGGAAAATAAACAAGCAGCCTCATACTACACCTGCTCCTATGGAAGTCCCTGCCTTAGGCCTGCTCTGTTGGAGGTTGCTGGCTTGGGCCTGTTTCTGTGGATGTCCCTGCCTCAGGCCTGCTCCTCAGAGGTCACTGGCTTGGGCTGGGTACAGCAGCAGTCTCTAGTTCGGGCCTGCTTCCTCTGTGGTTGCTCCCTTGTACCTGGTCTTGGCTTGTTTCTTCCCAGTTTTTCTACCTTTTGCCTCTGGGTTTTTATCTTTCTTATTCTGTATATATGACTTTACTTCTTTCTCTGTGGCTTGCTCTGTAGCTGAGTGGCTTGGTAACTAACCCCTGATGTCCTCCTTTCCTTGATCTCTCCTTGCTCCTCATTCTCGGTTCTCCTCAGCTACTCCTTTTAATCATCTCAGTCCCCCTAGTCCAGTGATACTATTGTCCACAGGGGACTGGTCCCTCCTACATGAAATCATGAAAATGCCCACAAACAGGCCCACAGGCCAATCTGAAAGACGTAATTTATCATCGGAGATCCCCTCTCCTCTTCCCAGAAATATCCAAGTTTGTCAAATTAGCAAGAGCTAATCAGCACTGTACAGTTATGAGCTACATCAAAAATAGAATACAAAATTATAGTCAATTATCCATAATTCTCATTTCCTTGGAAACAGGACCACTTAGCCTTCTAATACATAGATGATTCTTGCTAAACAGTTAGATTTCCCAGTGTATTATAAATCACAGGAGGAGTGAGTACATAATGTGCCATGCTATGAGAGGAGCTGTGAAATGAGGGGTTTGCAGCTGAGCCCTTTAGGAATGCATTCATGGAACTTTCTCAACACAGTCTAACAGTCGAGCAAACACTGACAATTGTGTAGTTATACTGAAGGAAATGTAACAGAGAACTATGTAGCTATATTATATATGAATGAAAGTACATATCTAAGAATCAAATTAAAATGTTCAAGTTTTAGCAGAAAAACAAATTTAATTTATAATATTTTGAATTTTAAAGATTTCTTAACCTCTTTTACTTTTATATACTTTAAAAATTACCATTATTAATTTCCTTGAATTCTTGTTTGCTCAGTGTTTTGATCATCATTTACTTAGTATTTAACTTTATTTACTTTACTGTGCTGTATTGGGTGGGTGTGAGGATGCTACATTGGACATGTGGACATCAGAGGACAACTTGCAGTTGTCACTTTTCTCTCTCCATCATGTGGGTACCAGGGGTTGACTTTAGGTCCTCAGACTTGACAGCAGGCACTGCTACCCATTTGTTTAGTATTTTAAATCAAACAATTGAGCTAGTAAGAGGGAATTTTAAATATCAATTTAAATTCAATTTTAACGACAATATTTTCCCAAACACATGGCTTATATATTTCACAGTTTGCTTAAAGTATGACTGAAATATTTTCCAAAGATTGTACTATCAGGTGAGTATATGCTAATATGGGTTGGATATGGTTTGACTAGGTTTTATGTGTTATGAAGTTGATCCCCAATTTGTAAAGATAATAAAGCAGTGGGACCTGGAAACAACCTAAATGCCCTTAAACTGAAGAATGGATAAAGAGAAAGTGGTACATTTACACAATAGAGTACTATACAGTGCGGGGGAAATGACATTTTGAAATTTGCAGGCAAATGGATGGATCTGGAAAGCATCATATTGAGTAGGAGATACATAATGAAAGAGGGGGGTGGAAGAGCTGCTACAAAGTATGAAGTGTGACTATAGATGCTGAAGAGGCAACAACACCCTCTGCCACCATGGCTAAAACGGAAGCCCTGCAGGTCAGAGATAAATTCCCTGCTAAGCCCCTTTGAGATTTCTGAGCCACAGAATCATGAACAAAGTAAGCATTGCTTTAAGCAGTTAAATTCTGAGTGACTTTCATAGGCAACAATCCATAACCAATATGTAAATATTGAACATGTTCAAGTTTTATTACCCTCCAAACTGTAACGTATGCTTTCTCTTCCTCTGTGGCACAATGCCAGGCTGTGACAGGAGTGCTGGCCCATAAACGTTTTCAAGGTAAATCTCCCTGGTCCTCAATACTCAAAAGTTAGAAACAGAAACTGGTGTCTATGTGATAAGTGCAATTATAAAATAATGTAATAATATGAAAAGCACGATTAATTATTACATTAGAAATTAGACACCAGAAGAAAAAGTACTCTTTAAGTCACGCACCAAGTACCATGGAACATTAAATGCACCTGGAATCTGATTCGCTCTTTCTCCTGTCTATTTGTCTATCTGTCTTTTTTATTGTGTGTACGTGTGTGTATGTATATGTGTGTGTGTGCAATGCTGAGGATGAATAGCCTTGGGCATATTAGGAAAGTGATATACCACACAACTACACTCTCACATAAATCTTTGTTGAATAAATTAGGGACTGGATAATGAGGGAGACAATGAATATGTGTGGGTTGTGAAGTTTGGGAAAGACCCTTGAAAGAATAATATGAACCAATGTCAATGAATGTTTAGAACTGTGTCATTAAAGACAGTAGGAGAAGAAAAGAGAGTGGCTCCAATGTGATAAGAACTGAGGTTGTCTGTCACTTGTCATCAAAGAACTCTGCACGGTCAGAAATGGAGACAGAAAGCAGCAAGGCTGGACGGGATCTCTAAATGGAAAAATCTCAGACGTCTACCTGAATGGTTTGGATGGAGTTAATTCCTAAACAGAGCCATGCCCTTCACATTAGGAGTCCAGGTATCTCTCAGACCCACTACTACTGTTATTCAGAATTGATTCTTCAACATAACTACCACATTTTACTCACTTTTTTAAACCCCTGGGCTTGTTTTATGGACAATCTAATTTTTATCAATAAAATACGGTAAAGCGTACATCTCATTGTGCTTTAAGGAGTCCCAAAGAGCTAAATTTTTTGTTTCGTTTTTCTCATCCCAAGTGTGCGTATCCCAGGTCTGTGTGTCTCAGGGCTCTGATCCCCAGGTCTGTGTATCTCAGGTCTTTGATCCCAGATCTTTATATCCCAAGTCTATATATGCTAGGCTTCTGTATCCCAGGTCTGTGTCTTCCAGGTCTGTATACCCAAAGCCTCTGTATTCTAGTTTGGCATTGGATTCTGCGTATAGTCAAGCATGATCTTGAATTTCTGATCCTTCTGCCTCAACTTCCCAAATGCTTGGATTACAGGCATGGACCACATCATACCCAGTTTATTGGATGAACTTGAGACTCTAACCCAGGGAGTCCTACAAGCTAGGCAAGGACTTTATCAACTGAGATGTCTCAGCCCAAGATCATTATTCTTGATGACTAGAAGTTCTAGTTTTCATCAGTTGCCTGTAATTCAAGGGAGTACCCTGGGATGCCATATATATCCTCATGCATTCATTCATTGACATATTTGCTCACATTTGCTATGGGTAGTATATGAAAATATACCCAAGTAGCATTAATCCCTCAAAGATTTTGATCCCTATTGAAATTCCAACAAATAAAAGTAGGTAGACCCCAGTCAGGAAGCAGATCGGCACCCTGTTCAACTCTCATTAGAGAAGCTTCCTACTACAACAGATGGGAACAAATACAGAGACCCACAGTCAGACATTATGCAGAGAGAGAGCTTGGAACAATCAGCCTTAAAAGAGATGTATCCATCAGATCTCTTTCCTCAGGGCTCAGGGAACCCTGCAGAAAAGGAGGCAGAAAGTGTGGACGACCTAGAAGAGATGGAGAACACCAAGGAAACAAAGCCTTCTAAATCAACATGATCAATACACATATGAACTCACAGAGACAGAGACAGCATATCCTGGACCTGCACAAGGCCTGCACAGATGGGACCCTAGAGCTGAAAGGAAAAGGGAAACAATCCCGATCCTTAGCTCAGAAACTCTCTCCAAGATATAAGCACTTGAAAATGAAAACCTAGTTTCCTCGGAAGAAGTCTCACTGGGAAGACAAACTGCTCTTGAGGGTAGGTGCATGTCAGGCGGTAGATGGCTAACAGCAAAAGAGCTTCACGGCAGCGTCTCTGCAGGTTCACTGTCTTACAGTGCCATGCCAGGGCTCTTCCTTTTCGTCTTTCATTTTATCTCATTATCTTGATTTTTGTTATATTTTTTTCTTTTTACCCTACATGTCCTTCACATGTATATTGTGGCTTCCAGTTTTTTTTCTTTTATGGAATTCCCAAGCGTTTGAACGAATGGGTCTCTGTTTCTTGTGCCTTCTCTTGGTTTTCTTTCCTCTGTTTGTTTTGTTCAATTTTGATGAGTTAGTGTTTGTTTTAACTTATTGTATTTTATTATTATCTATTAAAGCCTATTTGTTTTCTAATGAGAGATAAAAAGGGAGTGGATTTGGATGAGATGGGAGGTCAGGAGGATCTGAGAAGAGTGGAGGAAGGGGAAACTGCAATCAGGATACATATTATGTGAGAAAAACATATTTTTTGTTTTTATTAACTATATATTTTTCTCCACTCCCCTCCCTTCTTCTCTCCTCACCTTTTACCCTCTCCCATGGTCCCCAGGCTCTCAATTTACTCAGGAGATCCTGTCTGAAAAAAATGTATTTTTGATAAAAGGAAAAAAAACCGTAAGAATAGGCAAAGAAAAAAATCAGACTACTGTGGCTGTTGACATATTGATTTTGTAATGGAATTTTGGACAAATCTATTGAAGAAGCAGGGTAAAAAGTGGACTATATGGATTCTGTTTATGTTATTTAAAGTAAATTGTGTAGAGCAAGCTCAAATAAATACATACGAACACAAATCAAATGAAGAAATAGATATTAAATATGAAATGAATGTACGGATAGTATTAACTTTGGACTATTTCAAAGCTAGGCAAAATATTAGAACTGTTCTTTTTTATTACTTCTAAACATGGTCTCACTAGAGCCTCTTGTCAACACTACACACATTTGGTATACAGGTGTACATGCAGGCAAAATACCCATAAAATTCTTATGGGACTTGCTGTGTGCCCAGATAGAACTCAGGCTTGCCTTCTCCTGCCTCTGCCTTCTAAATCCAGACACTCCAGGTGCTTGCTACCAGGCCTCACTACGATTGCTCTGCTTAGATGGTTGTGGCAGCCCACCTGAATAGTGAAAAGATGCCGTGCTTCTGAAAGATGCAGGAAAGTGAATGGAAAAGCCCCTGCCAGGCTGGGATTATTCATCAATTATTACCCAACCATATTCCCAAAGGAAGCTCAAGAATTAAACTGGCAAATTTCAACACTAAATGAAAGTCTAGAAAATTATGATTTTTGTTTAAAGTTTTATAGTATGATCTATTTAGTTTCTAAAATACCTCATATGCTTTATTTTCTATGAATTATCTCTCCTAATAACCATATTTATGAACTTTAATAAAAATACTGTTGAGCTAGAACTCATTATAGTTTTTTAAACTTTATTAAGAATTTTATGGGTGTTTTGACTGCATGTGTATCTGTATACCAAATGTGTGTAGTGTTGACAGAGGCCAGAAGAGTGTGGTCGATCCCCTGAGACTTGGATCCCTGAGGACTGTGGTTACTGATAGTTTTCAGTCACTTCTGTGTCCTAGGATTTGAAGTTGGGTCCTCTAGAATTAAAGCTTGTTCTCATCATGGTTGAACAATCTCTCCAGTCTCCATCATATTTCTTTTGATAGTCCAAGATGTATATTATCAAAGGGAATGTGGTAGACTCCTATAAGAGTTAATTTTGTAAGAAAACTTGAGTGGGACATGGAATAACCATTGTTCTGGATGTGTCTGTAAAAACGTTCCCGGTAGAGATTAGCATTTGAATTGGTGAACTTCATGAAACAGATGGCCGTCCCCAACATAGGTGGGCATCCTCAACTTGTTCAAAGCCTGAATAGACTAAAAATGTGGAAGGAGGTTGAGATTTCCCTTCTGGGACTTTGGCCTTCTCCTGTTCGCAGTCGCCTCTGTCTCAACCTATGAACTCTATCACCAACTTGCCTGGGTCTTTAGATTGCACATGGAAGATTAAGAAATGTTTCAACCTCCATAGTTGTGCTGGCCCATTTCATATATTAAATGTATCTCTTTGTCTCTTTCCCTTTATCTCTTTCTATCTTTCTTATTAGTTCTTGAGAATTCTAATAACATACTATATGCTAAAACACTCCCTGGATTAATATGCCCTTCAAACCAGATCTTGTAAGCACTATGCATATGGTTACATATGATAACAGATAGTCATTAACATTAAATTTTATATCAGTCCTTGGAAAGGCTCTTAAAATCAGCAGGTGACTTAAACCCGTCTAGACTAGAACTAACTTCCCCGTGACTGTTAGCTGTTTAGGGTGATTACTCATTCAATGACATTTGGTATCAGTCCCACTACTGTTAGGAGACAGGTGTTGGACTCTAATCTGAACATAACAGTCAACCTTTTTATTTTGTTTTATCATAGCCAATAGATCTATGATTGAGTAAAAGACTTTATAATGTTCATGAAACTGGTTGGAAGGCAGCAGAGTACTCGAGCACATAGTAGTACATTTTCCTAATAGCAAGAGTAGGTGACATTGTTTGATTGCATGCTATATACTATAGTACTATAAATTTCATGAGGAATATGTAATCTTATGTTTAAAATAATCATATATAATATATACCCCCCCACACACACATTTGCTACTTCTTTCTTTTTGGAAGTGAAATTGAGGACTGGTCTCACCACTACTAACTAGTTGCTCAGAACTTCAAACCCAGGCTTGGGCTCCCAAATATCTACCTATTCTTTTAACCGCTATATTGACATTAGATAGTGAACAGATCTCATCGTGGCTGTTTTTATATGAGATTAGAATCAACCATTATTTAAAGATTACCCTTAGATCCTGAATACTAGTGGCAGACTTAACTTAGGGTAAGTGACTAAGTTCAAATTAACAGCTGTGTTTTCAATGAGTTGCATGTGATAATTACAGGCAAGCAAACCCGGGAAAACCTGCCAACACACTTTGGAGACATGAATTCTAATCACACCAATATTAAACATGAAGAAGTTACAACAATTGTTCCAAAAAATGGCATGCTAGATGAACTCATCAAGCATGAGAAAGAACCAATAGAATCATTTCCCACTGTTCAGGTAAGAATATAGCCAATTCAAACAGGAGGACTGATGCCTTCAGACTCACAGTACATGGGATTTCAGAAATCAGAGACAGCAATGCAGCTCAAAACCCATAAGAAATTCTATTGGTAGGTCCTTTCAAATAAAGCAGTCTTGACATAAAGGTCAATTGTAAAGAAGTTTAGGAAGTTGCTTGTAAATTAAAAGCAGAATAAACATAAATTAAATATTTCCTAGCATCACACATACAAGTATAAATCCATATGCAATTTGATTTCTTATAAAATCTTTCAGCATGACCCCAATAAAACCATTTAACTTCAAAAGGGACAAAGCCCAGAGCTCTGCCATGTGCCATGTGCTACACGGGCCGTTTCATACACCTGCCGTGGGTGTGTTTCTATTGCCAACACAGAAGACACGGGCAAAAATCCGTTCTAGAAACACTTTATCCAGAATTACAAACCTCTTTTCATGCTTATTTCTAGTATTGATCTGGATAACTTATCCTACTGCATAGATTGCAGAAAAGGGTTATGATTTTTATCTTTATTTTGTTTTATGAGATTACAATATAATTACATCATTTCTTCCGTCCCTTTCCTCCCCTCAGAACTTCCCAAATACTCCTCTTTGATCTCTTTCAAATTCATGGCCTCTTTCTTTTAACTGTTGTTACACGTATGTATTTAATGTATATATGCACATATTTTTAAACAACCTCGCTCAGTGTGTAAAATCTTACTTGTATATATGCTCTCAGAGCTTACCATTTGGTACTGATTAATCAATTGATGTGCTCTTCCCCCCTTCCCTGGGGAGGGTTACCCCCCCCCACCAGCTTTCTTCAGTTGCTGGTAGCTCTTTGTGCAGGGTTAAGGGAGCTAGAGGAACAGGATTAGAAATATTGCATAGAAATCATGACTTTATTCTTGTGTGTAAATTTTTGTAGCTAATAGATTTAACAAAAATTATGATCATGATCAACAGTTTGGCTCCACAAGTGAAAGAATTTGGGTGAAAACTGATAACAACTTTTTTTATGTGCAGAAAAGTCACTTTTTTATATTCTGAAAAGTAGTATCTTTATTCCTTTTTGACTAAGTATACTGCTATAAACATTAAAACTGGGACTGTATGTGGAAATAGCAAAATGCTAGTCCTTCGTTAAAAAAAATAGTGTTCGTTTTTGTCTTTTTAAAAGGTAGATCTCACTCATAGCGTAGGCTGGCCTCAGACTTAACCAGTCCTTCTACCTCAGTCTCCTAAATATTAGATTACAGGGTGAGCCACTATGCCTGCCTGCCTCTTCCACTCTGAGAACCCCCTTCTTCGAGCATCTCCGGAAGAGTCTGGAAATAAAATGTTTGTCATAAACAGGCAGAAGTTGCCAGCTCTTCTGTTAGGGGTGCTGGGACAATTTTGAAACACCTTTCTAAAATGCTATGTGTTGATGCTTCAACAGGATATAAATATCAACTAATTTGTAAACTTTTATTATTCCTACAGTTCCTGCTGGAAGAGTCTCAGTGAAACGAAGAACAGCGAGTGCTTTCAGACATGGGAGAATTACCTGAAGTGCTAGCCCCTAAAGAACACAACTGTGTCTCTTTCCCCTGTAGTCTCCTGCTTCTTTGGGGGTGTTTTCCAGTGAATTTCTCTGCACTTTAAAAAGTGAAGAGAGATTACAAAGTGTGCTTTAAAGTGCATTAAATATAACGTAAGGTAAATTAGTAAAACCTCTTGAAAAACTCTGCTCTCAGCTCGCCGGCTTGCTTCCTCTGGGGGAAGATAATGCGATTGTGTTGATTTAAAGGTTCTGTCGAGTTCTCTTAAGCATTCCTTTGATGCTGTGTCGCCCTGCCTCTAATAGACTGTTATTGCCCTCTATTGAGTTTACAGAGTGAGGGTAAATCTTTGGTGATGTGATTGAGCCTCTGCAAACTCAATATTGCTCACCCGGCCTTTATAACTCTCAGTTACTCTGCAGCAGAACAGCAAACATTTTCATTTTTACCTTTTTAGATTTTCATTCTTTGTTCCCGAAGCTGAGAGTATATATGCTTATACATGGTCTTCAATGTCTATTTGGGGCAGTAGTAACTCATAAACAAAAGAACACTGTCAAGTAGGTTTTTTTCTTTTTTTTAAATTATTGATTTTGTGGTTGGATCTTTTTTTTTTTTTTTTATTGTGTTCCATTAGGTTCTCAGCTCCACTATTGAACAGATAGCAGCTGGGGCAACTTTAACCCAGACATGTAGCCAAGGTCTAGTTGAAATATCATCGTAAAGGACCCAAGGACATGCAGAAGTGTTTCTCTGGCAACCGTTTTTACCTGGAGACTCAGTGAAGTTGTCTTCTCCTATTGAAGATGACAGACAGGAGGGCTATGTGACTGGAAGTAACAGCATAAGCTATGAGTAGTGGAGGAAGCCCTGAGTGAATGAGGACCTGGGTTGATGGTCGCAGCTGACACATCAGGACCGTGGCCAGGATCCTAGATTCATAGTTATAGGAAAAGGCAAAAGTCCCTCCACCCTGGCCCCATGAGTCTCCTCTTGTCAGAATGTGCATGTTCGCAGTGTGTCCGGAAGATGTCTACCTTAACTTCCTCCTCAGAGCAAGTTTATGGCCTGAACACTGCTCTTCTACAAAGGCTAATGCTAACTACACCTGCCTCCTGTTTGGCTGCATACAATCGACCCTGCTGCCTTTTTATGCTTGTATATAACCATGGTCCCTTGTTTGTCTGTATAAGTCAACCCTGGCTACTTGTTCAGCTACATGCAATAACTCCCCCTCACTGGTGGTTCAACTGTTTATAATAAATACTGAACTTCTGGGATGTTAAGGTTTCCTTACCAGAGCCCAGTCCACTCGAACCCAGCTTCTTTGTCTGTATATCTGTATGTGTCTGTCATTTCTTCATTCCCTTCCTACCCTGCATCAGGCCAAGTCCCTGGGATGTGTGCTTGGGCATGGTAATAAATAATCTAGCGTTTAATAATGCCTAACCCTGATATTCTTTTTGGGTGTCTTAAATTATTTTCTGCTTCTTTGATTAAACTTCTTGCAAAAATTAGTAGTTTTCACTGAAGCATAATTCAAGTTATAGTTTAAAACTGTTTATCAAGACTAGGGTATACAGTATATATGTAGCATACCCAAAGCTCTGGATTTGACCCCTAGCACAGTAAACCAGCCTCTGCCCTCCTCCAAAACACCTCCACTTGCCTATAAACTGAGGTTGGATTACTGCTACTACTATTATCACTGCTACTACTTCTACTACTAAGCTATCTAAGACAAGTGTGTTAAGATCATGTGTTCAAGCTCTCCTTTGAACCCACTACGTAGCGAGAATAGCTTTGAACTCCTGATGCTCCTCTCTTCATCTCTTAAGTACTGCAATTACAAACATGGGCCACCATGCCCAGCTTAAAGTAAGGTGTCATGTGCTCTATTGATATGGCTCTTTCTCCTGCTGTTTTAAGAGATACAGTCACGCAGTTTGGGAGCAGATATGAGTTGGTAAGTCCTTGGTGATTGCTCTTCCTGCCATTCCTTCCTAACCGTGATGAACTGTACCCTGTGTATAATTGCCTATTTGTTGTGGTTTGAAAGTGAACGATCCTTTAGAGGCTCATGTGTTTGGACGCTTGGTTTAAAGCTGATCGTGCTGTTTGGGAATGTCATCGAACCTGAAGGAGCTAGAACTTTCCTGTGGTGAGTACATTACTGTGGGCAGACTTTGAGAGATTTTTTTGAACCTCAAGCAAGTGTTATTATATACTGGCCAGTAAGATGGACACAGGCCGGGTCTAGACCTGGGATTCCCAGAAAATGGTGCTTAATTATGTTAGTCAGGTGCTCATAAGGCAGAACCAACAAGGCTATGGTACTTTCTGCTGTCATCAATCAAATCGGGGTGAGCATACATTCGTTGCCCTCTGTTTTTTCTTATTTTTTATTGTTTTTATTGAGCTATATATTTTTCTCTGCTCCTCTCCCTTTGTTGCTTTCTATCCTCCACTTCTACCCTCTTCCATGATCCCTATGCTCCCAATTTACTCGGGAGATTTTGCCTTTTTTTCTTTACTTCCCATATAGATAAAATCCATGTATGTCTCTGTTAGGGTCTTTGTTGTTGAGGTTCTCTGGGATTATGATTTGTAGGCTGTTCTTTGTTTTATGTCTAAAAGCCACTTATGAGTGAGTAAATATGATATGATATTTGCCTTTTTGTGTCTGGGTTACCTCACTCAATATGATGTTTTCTAGATCTATCCCTTTGCCCGCAAATTTCAAGATGTCATTATTTTTTTCTTCTGTGCAGTAGTACTCTATTGTGTAAAAGTACTATATTTTCCTTACCTATTGGTCGAGGGGCATTTAGGTTATTTCCAGGTTCTGGTGGTGACAAACAATACTGCTATGAACATAGTTGAATACATGTCTTTGTGGTACAATTGAACATCCTTTGGGTATACACCCAAAAATGGTGTTGCTGGGTCTTGAGGAAGGTTGTTTCCTAATTTTCTGAGAAATCGCCATACTGATATCCAAAGTGGTTATACAAGTTTGCATTTCTACCAGCAATGGAGGAGTGTTCCCTTTACCCCATATCTTTTCCATCATAAGTTGTCATCAGTGTTTTTGATCTTGGCCATTCTTGTAGGTATAAGATGGAATCTCAGAGTTGTTCTGATTTGCATTTCTCTGATGACTAGGGATGTTCATGCAGCATTTCCTTAAGCATCTTTCAGCCATTTTAGAATCCTATGTTGAGAATTCTCTGTTTGGGTCTGTTCTCCATTTTTTTTTATTGTATTATTTGTTCATTTAATGACCAATTTCTTGAGTTATTTGTATATTTTGGAGATCAGCCCTCTGTCCAATGTGGGGTTGGTGAAGATCTTTTCTCATATTGTAGGCTGCTGTTTTTTTCTTGTTGACTGTGTCCTTTGCTTTACAGAAGCTTCTCAGTTTTAGGAGGTCCTATTTATTAACTGTTTCTATCAGTGTCTGTGTTACTGGGGTTATATTTAGGAAGTGGTCTCCTGTGCCAGTGAATTCAAGAGTATTTCCCACTTTCTCTTCTATGAGGTTCAGTGTGGCTGGCCCTATGTTGATGTCTTTGATCTATTTGGACTGAGTTTTGTGCATGGCAATAGATGTGGATCTATTTTCATTCTTCTACATGTTGATATCTAGTTATGCCAGCTCCATTTGTTGAACAAGCTTTCCTTTTTTCATTTTATATTTTTTTTGCTTCTTTGTCAAAAATTGGGTGTTTGTGTGTACATTTGTATCTGGGCCTTTGATTTGATTCCATTGGTCTTCCTGTCTGTTTTTATGCCAATACCAGGCAGTTGTCAGTACTGTAGCTCTGTAGTAGAGTACTGAAAATCAGGGATTGTGATGCCTCCAGAAGTTTCTTTATTTACAGGATTGTTTGGTTTTGCTGGGTTTTTTGTTTTCCATATGAAGTTGAGTATTGTTCTTTTGAGGTCTGTGAAGAATTTTGCTGGGATTTTGCTGAGCAGTGCATTAGATCTATAGATTGTTTTTGGTAAGATTGCTATTTTTACTATGTTAATTCTACCTACCCAAGAGCATGGGAGATCTTTCTATTTTCTGATGTCTTCTTCAATTTCCTTCTTCAAAGATTTAAACTTCTTGTCATACGGGTCTTCCACTTGTTTGGTTAGAGTTACTACGAGAGTTTTATGCTATGTGTAGCTATTGTGAAGGGTGATGTCTCTCTGATATCTTTTTCAGCCATTTTATCATCTCTGTAAAGAAGGGCTACTGATTTTTTGAGTAAATCTTGTTTCCTGCTACATTACTGAAGGTGTTTATAAGTTGTAGAAGTTCCTCTTTAGAACTTTTGGGGTCGCTTATGTAAACAATCACATCATCAGCAAATAGTGAGAATTTGATTTCTTTTCCAATTTGTATCCATTTGACCTCATTTTGTTGTCTTTTTGCTCTAGTTAGAACCTCAGAAACTATATTGAATAGATATGGAGAGGATGGACAACCAGGTCTTGTTTCTGATTTCAGTTTTTGTTGTTGATGTTAATTTGTGTGTTTTCCCCTTCTTTGGTATTTGCTCCTATGACCATCATTTGTCTTTGTTTCTGTGGATGTAACCAACTTTCTTGGGTTGGAGTTTTCCTTCTAGTACTTTGTGTAGGTCTGAGTGTGTAGTAAGGTATTGGTTAAATCTGGCTCTTTCCTGGAATATCTTGTTTTTTCTGTCTATGGTAACTGAAAGTTTTGCTGGGTATGGTAGGCTGGACTGGCATCCATGGACTCTTAATGTCTACATAAAGCTTGACCAGGACCTTCTGACTTTTATTGTTTCCATTGAGAAGTCAGTCAGGTGTAATTCTGATTGGTCTACCTTTATATTTTACTTGACCTTTTTCCTTTGCAGTTCTTAATATTCTTTCTTTATTCTATATGTTTAGTGCTTTGATTATTATGTAGCAAGGGGACTTTTTTTTTATTAAGTCTATTTGGTGTTCTATAAGCTTCTTATATCTTCATAGGCATATGTCTACTTAGGTTGGAAAAGTTTACTTCTATGATTTTGTTGAATATATTTTCTGTGCTTTTGAGTTGGACTTCTTCTCCTTCTATCCCTATTATTCTTAGGTTTGGTCTTTTCATGGTATTCCATCTTTCCTGGATACTTTATGTTAAGCTTTTCTTAGATTTAATGTTTTCTTTGACTGATAAGTCTATTTCCTTTATTGTGTCTTTAGCACTTGAGATTCTCTATTCCATTTCTTGTATTCTTCTGTTTATTTTTTTTTAAAAAAAGATTTATTTATTGTGTATACAATATTCTGCCTCCATGTATGCCCTCATGTCAGAAGAGGGCTCCAGAACTCATTACAGATGGTTGTGAGCCACCATGTGGTTGCTGGGAATTGAACTCACGACCTCTGAAAAAGCAGCTAGCGCTCTTAACCTCTGAGCCATCTCTCCAGCCCCTGCTGTTTATTCTTGCATTTGTGGTTTTTGATCATTTTCTCATAATATCCATTTCTATAATTTCCTCTGTTTGTGTTTTCTTTATTGTCTCTATTTCAATTTTCAAGTCTTGAATTGTTTCTGTCATTTTTTGATTTTTTGATTGCTTTTTCTTGGTTTTCTTTAAGAAATTTGTTGATTTCTTCCAATTTTTTATTTTTCTTTTCTTAATTTTTTTGAGGGAACTTTTGATTTCCTCTTCAAGGGCCTCAAATATTCTCCTAAAGTTATTTTTATGTCATTTTCTTCCTTCTGCTTTTCATCTATATTTGGTTGTTCAAGTCTTGCTATTGTAGGGTTACTAGTTTTTATTGGTGTCATGTTGCTCTTTGTTGTGTTGAGTGTGTTCTTATCTTGCTTACCCACCTTTTCCTCTGATTGGTATAGTTGGGGCTGTCTGTGACTCTGATGATCAATATTCCAGGTGCCAGTGGGTCCAAAGCACAGATGGTTATTCCTCATGTGCAGTCATGGCCATGGTTCGTTACCCTAGAGGTCACTCAGTATTCTCGGAGGTTGCTCAGTGCTCCTGGAGGTCACTTGGTAATACCAGGGGTCATTTGGGTCTGCTCTCATGTAGGTTGCTTGCTTGGGACTGCTCCTTTTGAGGTCGCTACCTTGGGCTTATTCTGAGGAGGTCGTTGGCTCAGGCTGCTACCTCAGAGGTCATTGATACATGCCTGGTCTTCATAGGTCTCTGTCACAGGCCTGTTCTCTCAGAGGTGGCTCCCATGTACCTGCTCCTGTGGAGGTCATTGCCTTGGGCCTGCTCTGGTGGAGTTCACTGGATGAAGTCTGCTCCTATGGAGGTGGCTTCCTTGAGCCTGCTCTTGCTGAGGTAGCTGGCTCAGGCCTACTCTGGTAAAGGTCACTGGTTCAGGCCTGTTCCTGCAGATGTCCCTGGCTAGGGTATGCTCTCTCAGAGTTTCCTGATTGATGCCCCATTC